AATCGGATGAGCCTCTTGTTCGCCGAAATTTCGGGGTGGGAAGAGCTGGGCTGGTGGTTTCAAATTTTCGACCGAAATTTCGGCGGAATGTTGGTCAGTCCCTGCATCCTATAAGGATCCTAACGTAAGGTGAAAAATCTGACGTTCTGAACACCACGTCATCACGAAGCACGTGATGAGAGAGAAAACGAAGAGGGGGTGTGTTGGCGTTTATGAGAGAGAATTCGAGAGTAAGGAGAGATCGCTAGATGGAGAGATGCCAGTCATCGTCGGTCACAGGATTTAAGAGAGAGAGGGATCCGGTGTTCAAACTTAGCTCAAATTTCAACGTCCTACAGTATGGTCTTCTGTCTTTTGTCCCATAAATTTTAAATTGGGCGGTGGTAACAGTGCCGTTGAATTAATGCAAAGTTTAAAAAAAATTCATCAATTAACCAAAAACATCCAGTTTGACATCTAATGAACGAGAATGATGTTATTTGACTCAACTCAAACCATCAAGAGAATATGTAGTAAGCTACTGTTAACTAAATTTGTAATTAATTCTTTATGTACTTAGAATATCAAATAAAAACGATAATTTTAGGAGGACATAAATAGAAGGGTGCAGTTTGTATAAAGCCTAAGCTCTAAATAATCAAATTAGAACCTACCTTAGTGTCGAGAAATGTGGTTTCAATATTGTAAAATCTCAATGATAGCCTTAAAATATATTTTTATTTATTAAGTTTAAAGTTTCAAAAATAGTATAGATCGGCAAATCTATGAAAACTTAAAAATCTTGAAAATTGATAGTAAAAAAATACGTTATAAAATATACTATTTCCCAAATGTAAAATCCATCCTTTTATCACGTTCATACATCTTGATGTCGAGATGATCAATTTGAAGATATTTGGGCATCAAAACAACCTCTTTTAGCGAGTTTTTTTATGTAGGCTCTAATTTTATTGTTTAGAACCTCGGCTCTGTATAAATTTTTACTTAAATAAAATAGTCCAAGACATACCAATTAGAGAGATGAACTTTTTAAAAGGGACTTAAATGGTCGCATATAGAAGGCTAGTAGAAGATATAAAGGGGTTTTGTGAAATCTCCGAGATGGGGAGGCTATTTTAGATTTTGTTATGTCTAACGACCTAGCAATAACAAACACTTACTTTTAAAAGTGTGATGAAAATTTAATGACCTATAAAAGTGGATTACATAAAATATTGATAGATTTCTTGCTAGTTAAGAAGGTAGATCGTCGATCATGAAAAAAACTACGAGGTTATCCTATAAGAGAGCTTACTACCAATCATAGCCTCATGGTTCTGGATATCTGAATAGAGACATAGAAGATAATGGTTGAAATTAATAAATGTATAAGAAATAGATGCATAAATTTTAAAAAATGAGAAAATATACTTATTTAGAGATAAAATAATTAAATAAATAAAATAAAACTCTGAATATGAGGTCAATGTTATGTGGAATGAGATGGTTGACTATATCAAGAAAGTGACAATAAAAGTTTTAGAAAATTATAGAGGGAAGCGAAATTATGATAAAAAAAAATTGGTGGTAGAGTGATAAGGTTTAAAAGGTAATTAACGAAAAACGATCATGTTATAAACCTTTACAGTATAATAGAAATGACCAAATCTTATAATGATATTAAAAATACTAAGAAAAATGCTAAACAAATACTAAGTAAGGCTAAACTTAATACATATGATAATTTATATAGTAAACTAGGAACAAGAAAATGTGAAACAAATGTCTTCAAATTATTAAAATTGAGAAAGAACAAATGTAAAGACCTAAACAATATTAAATTCATTAAGAGTAATGATCAAATGGTATTGGTGAAGGATAAGAAGTCAACGAAAGGTGGAGAGTTTATTTTTAAAATTTACTAAATGACAAACACAACGAAAACATAGTGGTAGAAAAAATTGTTGGTATAAATGAGGATTGATGTCATAGATACATCAGTAGGATTAGGATATCGAAAGTAAAAGAAGCTTTAAAAATGATGAACATATAAAAGGCTTTAAAACCATAAGATATCTCGATAAAAGGTTTGGAAGTGCATGAGGAGAATGACATTGACTGAATTACCAAGTTGTTCGACAAGGTGTTGAGAATAAATAAAATACTAGATGAATAGATAAAAAGTATTGTAGTACCTATTTACAATAACAAATGAGACATAAATAATTATACGAACTATTGAGAGATCAAACTTATTAGCCGCATCATGAAGTTGTGAGAGAAAATGATTGAGCAATGTCTAATACATAAAACAAGAGTATAAGAAAACATTTTCGATTTTATGTCTGGGAGGTCAACAACTGAGGTTATTTCTCTACTTTAGGTAATTGATTGATAAGTTTAGGACGAAGGAAAATGACTTCTACATGGTATTTATTTATCTAAAGAAATTTTATGATAATGTACCTCGAGATTTGATTTGGTGGCGGTTGGATAAATAATGGAGTCTCCAGACACTATATAGAATTAGAGCTGGATATGTGAAATTGAAATGTGCAACGGAAATTTTGTGTGATTGCTGCATGCAACTTAAATTGAAGAACTAGTTCTATTAGACAATTGTGAGACAAACTTTGTTCTATAGGGTGAAATGTTAGGTAGTAAAACAAATAGTATACCCAATGATTTTAAAATCGGCGAGTCGAATCAAACTCGCCCGGTTCGACACGGGAATCGGCACATCCCGTGCCGGTTCCAACACAAAACCGGGAACCGCCCGGTTCTAGAGCAGAACCGTCGGTTCCCACCCGATTCTAACCGGTTCAACCCGGTTCCCTTATGTTTCTAGCATCAAAAGCACCTTCACATGTGTGTAGGGGTCACGCGTGCGATACACACCACACGTGTGACATGAGTGGTACACACTCCCACACGTGCCATACGTGCGACACACACATGCACATGTGTACTGGTTCTAGGCTCAAAAACACATTCACACGTGTGTATGTGTCACACGTACGACACACACATGCACGCGTGCATGTGCACGGATGCCCTAGTGTTTTCACACTTATGTTTATCTTCCAATTATATAATTATTTATATAGCATATTTGAATACTCCTCATTCGATGTGAGATAATTCCCAAACATCATTAAATGAAAACATAATGTAAATATATGCTATTAATAGGCAATTTTAAACACATATGCTTGGGAGGCATGAAGGTTATCACTATTTTTTTATTTATTTATTAATTTTTACATTATAAATCATGTAATGTACTATTTTTCTTACAGTTGCCAATAATACATTTTAAATTAGATAATATTATAAAATATTTTTAATTTGTTATTATTTGTCTAATAAAATAATTATAAAATGTAAACTAATAATTATAATTTCAGTATATAATATTATAATTAATTAGGTTGTACTAATTTTGGATTATAGTTAGTTAGGCTGTAATAATTTGGGTTTTTTTAGCGGATTAAGGTTTTTCGCCAAAACGAGATTTTAATGGCCATTATTTCATTGATTTAGTCTACTTTTTATTGTAGTTCATGTATAATTATATATTTTATCCATGATAATTCTATGATTTTTCTTTTATGTGATGCGAATTTAATACTTAAATTTATAAAGGGAAATAATATATAAATATTCACAAATTGAAGAAAAAAATGAAAGTTAATAATGTAGTATCCTCATTTATTATTGGATTATTAAAAAATAATATTTATAATGAATTTTAAATTTTTTTTTAAATTATTTTAAAGCTTTAATCCGACTTATTCAAACGATTTTCGATCCAAATCACCGATTTGTTGATCCGAAAATATTTTTGACCTGCTTTATCCGAATCACCGATCCGCCTTTTAAACCATTGAATATACTTATATATAGGATAAATGTAACGCGGCTGTACTCGAAAAAGAAATGAGAAACCCGAGAAAGAGACGGGTTTATTGGAGTAAAGAAGATACAAAGGATGTGATACGATTCGCGAATAGAGTCAGAAATAGAGAGAGGAAGCGTAAAGTTGGAGGCTAAGGAAGCTGTTTTGCTGGCACTCTGCCATCCAAGTCAGGCCAGCAATTATATCCCCCCTTCTTTCTTCCGACATAATATTTTCTCCCATTTAAATAAAATACACCCTACATTTAATACCCCAATTTAATAATTCCCACCTAATAAAATCCCCATTTAATATACAAACTTATCAATTCCCACCAAAAAATCCCGATTTATTAACCCTCTAAGCGTTACGAACCACGCGTCTAAACTTCAACCGCGGTTAATTTTCCATTTTCTTTTTACCTTTGCCCGCGCCCTTTTCCTTTTCTAACCGCGGTTGGTTAAACCCCAGGTTTAACGGCTGGTTGAAGGGAGACAGGGGTTTTACGGTGGCCGGGAACATTAACCGTCGTTTTATTTGGGTTTGAGTTATGTCCAGAGAGGGGGAGAGACTCCCGGAAAAGTCGCCGGGAAACGGCGACGGCGTGATTTACCCTTTGCCTTTGGCTTTTCACGAGGATGTGGTAAAAAATCAGGCGGCTTTCATTGAGACGCTGAGGCAGTTCCATTCTAAGATGAGAACCAGATTCATGTGAGTTTTTCTTCCCTCCCTTTCATTTTTTTTGTCTTTTATTTTTTGCCTTTTGTTTTTTAAAAAGTGTACTTCTTTGGGTGCCATTATTTCTATATTTTGCTAAGAGAACATTTTATTTTTTTGTAATTGTTTGGTTTTTTAGGATACCTGTATTGGGAGGGAAAGAGCTGGATTTGCATCTTCTCTACACAGAGGTCACTAACAGGGGTGGGCTTGAAAAGGTAACTTTAAACTTCAAACCCCAGCAAAAAATATTAGTTTTTTTCTTTTCCACCATTTTTTTTCTTTTTTGGACAAATATTTGAGATTGATATATGTTTTATGAACAAAGTTTGAACTTAGAACTTATGAGGAATGATTTTATCTTAGGTTATTGGTGATAGGAAATGGAAGGATGTGATTGCAGCGTTTAATTTTCCACCCACCACAACAAGTGCATCATTTGTTCTGAGGAAATATTACATAAGTCTCCTCCACCACTATGAGCAAGTCTACTTCTTCAGAACAAAGGGGCCTCTAGTCCCACCTGCAGGTGCCTATAAATTATAAAACTACTGTTTTTTTTTTATATATATGTTCTTTATTTATGAAACAAATTTTTATGTTTCTTTAAGTTGGAGTGCTGGCATGTTTAAAAAGTACACCATAGAGAAGTAAAAAGTACAAGAAATGTAAGCAGAGTTTAGTGCTGATGGAATTAAAAACATGGTGAAATGGAAGGTTGTTTTCCTTATCTCATCTTTGAATTTAACTTTCTCTTCTCGTTGCATGCCACTGTTTAACCATGGATTTTGATTTCCACCATTGTTGGGGTAGCTGTAATGGATGTGCCATTGTTGTTTGAATGGCTCTCACAAGTTTGGGGAAAGTGTATATCTCATGACCATGGGACAGTTATATCTATGGTCGTGAGGGTCATCATCGTGTCATGGGAGGTGGACGATGATGTAGAGACTAGAGAGTATTGGATCCGGATTTATGGTCTACTGCGTCTATTATTGACAGCGAATGTACTAACTTTGATAATCATAGATTTTCAGCATGGATCATATAGATTAAATTTGTATGTTTGGGTGTGTATTGTATGCTCCCAGTGGAGCCCACTCTATGGTTAGTTTATGTGATGGATTACCTTCTGAGCATTGAATGGTGGAGAGAGAGAGAGAGAGAGAGAGAGAGAGAGCTCATTAATTAGATCACCACCGTCCACTCTCTGCCATCCAATGGTAGTTGGGCCAGCATTGGACAGTGGATGTCTGTAATGCGTAATGCTCAAGCATATTATATTTTGGAGAATTTTACCTGAACTATCGATTGTTAATGACTGAAGGTTGAAATGTACTGATGATTCTTTCTACAGTGTGCTGGGCCGAGTAACTCAACCTTGCCCTATGGGCGAGGAGTTGTGTATGCCACTTGGGGATTTTAAAAAAATTAAAAATTGAAAAATAGTAAAAAGAAGTATGGGATTGATCTATACTTTTTGTGTATGATTTATATATTTTTGGCAAAGAGCAAAGATTGGTGAGTGTTTTTTTTTTTGGCCATAAATCCCTATTCTTATCCTTTCCTTTGTTTTTTTTTTTGGATTTCTTTTATTCTCATCTTTTTTACCTTTTTTTTTGGGGATTTCTTAAAAGGACACGGTTTCTATGAGTACAATGTAGAAATGAGTCACGTATTAAAAATCTATTCCTGAGATGGATTTTTGGACTTAATCTTTAAGGACATTTAGTCTCTTGCATGGAGATCATGAATATTAATAAATAAATAAATTCTGAAAATTAGAAATAATAATTTTATTAAGAAAACATGTAGATTTTAGATGGACCATCTATTTGCATCCGTCTTTAAGATGGATGCCTTATACCTTAATGTTGTTTTCTTGTTTAGTTTTTCTTTTAATATATATTGTTTTATTTTTTGATTTTTTTTTTCCATCTCTTCAATTTATCGAGGGCTTTTCTGCTCTCTGTAGGGGGCGAGTTCCCTTGACAAAGTGAAGTCTTGGCACATGGCTTTCTAGTATATGAATGTATAGTTGATCAGAGTGTAATAGCTAAGCACAATTACTGAGTTGACATGCAACAACCTGTCATCACAGCGTGCAGTTCTTGTTTTTCCATATAAGAAATATCTTCAATTGAAATTGGAAAAGAGATTGAGCCCTAGGGCCTCCAGAGTACAGGCTTGATGGCTCAGATTGAATCTTATAAAAATGAATGACCGGCATTGTCTGTTAGAAAAAACAATTTTTTTTCTATGAAAACTGTGAGAAAAATTTCCTTTGAGAAATGCGGGAGTCAGGCAGACCTGTCTTATAAAAATGTGGGCGGTGCTCTAAATGATAAAAAAATGATATAACGAAAAATGTGGGGTAAAATATGATAAGATCACCCCCTCTTCAATTTGGGCCATCTAGCTTACAACTGTTTAGGAGGTTTTCTTTTGAGAAGGATTTTCTTTCATAGTTCAAAGATGATAGAGATATGTGGTAGGAATGAAAATCAAGATATTATATTGTGGCGACCAACCATGCTGACCACCTAGCCTTGAGCCTATTCCTAGTCTTTTGACCAGGAGAATTGGGATGAAGTATTCTTTTAGAGAGTTATATCACACTCATCTCAATCCTTGACTAAGGGCTGCATGTATCGTGATGTTGGATATACAATACCGATTTCTATTATCAATATCGATAATTTTGTAACAAAAAAATAGATATGGAAATTTAATTATTGGAAATTTGTGCAATATATTCTCATACTCTCTAAGAACCTGAATGTTTTTCTGTACAAACCTCAGACCCCTTGGGGGTCTATTGTTAGCTTGACCCTTTATTTTTGGATAATGTGCAACTTTCCTTCTTGTGCTAATCACAGATCTCTCTCTCTCTCTCATATTATAATTGTTATTATCCATGGCTTCAGTCCCGTTACCTGTTAAAAGCCCATCATCTGGACCTGCCAGTAATGGGGAATCTGATTCAATGCATCAGTTAATAAAAAAACAGCGCAGAAGGAGCTCCTCAAATGTTCAAATTGGAGGTTGGCTTCTGACACGCACACCACACCTGCATTTCTAACTATTAATGCATCACCACTTGCTTTGAATTCATTTTATTCCTATCTTCTATCTCCCTCATTCCTTTCTACTGAACTTTTACTACCTCTTATGATTTGTTCATAGTTTCTTGCTCATTTGCAGCTCCTGTAAATTTACCTGCTCCTGTGATTGGAAAAATTGATGGAAAATTTGATCATGGTTACTTGGTCACTGTGAATTTGGGAACAGCGACTTTAAGAGGTGTGCTTTATCACCCAATGCCTGTCTCCTCTGCAGCTCCTGTGGAGAGAGAGAGTTTTTTAGCGGCAGGTAGTTCCCCTAGGAGACGGAGGAGGAGGAAGAAAGGTTCAAGATGGAGCGATCCTGGCCACCCAAAACCTAATCGTAGCGCTTATAATTTCTTCTTTAAAGAGAAACATGCAAAGCTTAAACTCTTGTACCCTCATAGGGAGAGAGAGTTCAGTAAGATGATTGGTGAGTCCTGGAACAAGCTCACTGAAGAAGAAAGGCTGGTAAGAGAGAAACAACCAATTCACATTACATAAGTGTTGGGTTAATTTTTCTTTTGAACTGGTTTTCAAAGAAAAATCACTCTATATAATAACGATTATTGGGTTTCTTTTTTTTTTTCCAGTTTTACTTGGACTTAATGGTTGTTGTTTTCGGCCTACAGGTTTATCAAGATTGTGGGTTGCAAGATAAGGAGAGATACAGAAGAGAGATGCAGGAATACAGGGAAAGGTTGAAGCTTTTGCGGCCTGCAGATATGCCAGAGAGAGAAAGCAATGCAGGCCTTATGTCAAATGAAGGTGGTGAAATAGAGTGCGACGGGAGGGGATGCAATGTTAAGGAGGGTGGGGGGTCTGCAACCCTTGCGTTATTATAACGATTATTGGGAACACTCATGGTGGCTGTTTGTTGTAGTTGATTAGAGTTGCATACTTTTTCTGTAGAGAAATGTTTGTGGGGTTTGATAGTTCTTCCGATTTTCTTTCTCTAAATTTGATAACAGTTTTAGATCTTGTGAATGCTGCCCCCCTCACCTCTCTCTCTGTCGCCGTTCTCACAGTTCTCACTAATCTCTCAAAGACTAAAGAATCTCTGCATATCTGTAGAAAACCATTACCAAAATTTTTCAAATGAATCTTGTTAGCAGTCAAGGAATTACTCCTAGTTGCTCACTTCCCCCCACCCCCTCTCTCTCACACGCATGCACACAAAAAACAAGGTACAAATGACGATAACATTATTAACATATTAACAATAAAAAAAAAAGGATAACATTATTTAAGGCCAACATCAGGAGAAATATAAATATTTCTAATTTGTTAGAGAATTTATTTTTCATTGAAGATAATAAATATATTTTTCTGATACCATTCCATATAGTACCTAGATATATCCCCCTGTTGTACCTCATTTATCCGATACTCCTAAATGACTACTTATTTTTCATCTTGTACGCCACTGTAACATGCTTATACAAGCTATCGTGCATCTCAATTAACTACCCTGCAGTTTTTTCGGATTTCTCCACTAGACCCGGTGAGAGGACTAATGTTTCCCATCTTGATCATTGAAGCTGCAAAGTCCTTAAAGAAGAGACCCTGGCTGTTATTGTAACTCTCTACAATAGATTTGGTGACATTTACTGCATCATCACCTGAGAACAACTCTTGATCTGTTTGTAGCAGGCCCTTTCCATTCAGCAAGTTCTTGAAGTAGTTGCTATCGAAAAGATCGATAGAGCCAGTGTCTAGTGATGTAGTGACATTCCCATCACCATTTTGCGGACATAGGCCTTGCAGTGTGGCCAAGTAGTCAGTTTCGACGGTTGAATCGGGTGCGTCAGTGTTTGAGAAGTTAAACAATCGGTGACTGAAGGTTGTGCACCTCGCCCGGCCTATGGTGTGGCCGCCTATATGAAACATTAATAGAACATGAGGTCACTCTTGCATACCTATGGTGTGGCCATATTTGCATTGAAAGAGAGAGAAGGATAAGAAGTATGCTACTGGTGATGTACTAGAGCATATTAAATCAGAGAAGGATAATAAATATGCTACTGGTAATTTACTAGAGCATATTAAATCTTATACAGGTGACTCGCAGTCATACACTAACATAATATCAATTTTTCCGGGAAATTTACCAATTTGCCCAAAATAGAAACCATTTAACACGTTACCCATATCTTTTGATTCAATATCAAAATAACCATAAACTAGTCTGTATTAGAATAGTTGCAATTGGGCAAAGTATTAAATATTTCATATCACATCGATATTTTGATGAAGGGTGTAATTGGTCAAAATATTAAATATTTCATATCACATCGATATTTTGTTGATGAAGGGTGTAATTGGGCAAAGTATTAAATATTTCATATCACATCGATATTTTGATGAGGGGTGTGGTTTGTATAAGGTTGCAACCTTAGACAGTCAAATAAAGGCGTATTTCTAAATTTTATCATAAACATAATTTTTAGTGTAAAAAATTATTGGGATGATTTGAGAATCTATATTCATCTCTAATTATGAATTTTAAACTCCATAGTTCAAATCAAGTAAATCTATAAATATTTGAAAATCTTGAAAATGGACGGTCCAGATAATATGTTGCATGATATACTATTTTTAGGGCTCAAAATATTTATTTCTTTTCATATTCACACATCTCAATGTCTAAATGATCAATTAGAGGGTTTTCCAACATCAAAAACAATATTTTATAATGGATTTTAGATGTGCACCTAAATTTTACATTTTTAAGGTTGTAAACTTATGGAAACTATTTTATTTTGATTTTTTTTTCTGGAAAAAGTCACCATTTTAATGTTTTGGAAGAGAGAGGTGCTCATACAGGGACAGGGGAGAGAGAGAGATCGAGATTGTTGCTTACCTGATAGAGAGACTAGGTCGGTGGCGTTCAAGCCTACGGCAACGAATTTAGCGAGCACCTGTGGTACGCTTTCCAATGGCGTAGGGAGGCCGCTATTTGCACCACTTCGATTCGCTACCAATCCATCTCTTCGTCCCAAGAGCACCTTCCATGATGGGCCACCGCTCTGAACCATCCGATCAATTATTTCAGCGGTTCAGATAAAGATTAAATGCTATTCTAAAACTATATTCCAACAAATGGAAATAGTCTCATCCAAACCTCCAGCATAAAACTTATATACCATGTAACTCCTACAGCATTATACTTCCCCTTACCCAACCGTCCATTCTGACTTGAGGGCTAAGATTGTCCCAATCACAATGTCACGTCTCTATATATATATATATTTTTTTAAAACTATTTTGGCACCAAATTTTGGACGTCCAATTCTCTATTAAACTCGCACTAACAAAAAATATAAAAATAAAAGTTTCAATAAAATAAAATGACCAAAATAAAAGGGGTATTTTGGTCATTATATTTTATCTAAAAAATATTTTTAATATTTTTATAGGTGCGCCCCAATGAGAAGATGGAACGTACCAAATTTTATATTCATACAATTTATATAAAAAAAAACTAAAAATAAAATACTTTAGGACGTCGGATCTAAGATCAAACGGTGAGTGGCTCTCTTGATCAAAATTGGACGGCTGGATGGTAGGAGAAGGATAGTTCTTCTAAGTTGTAGGGAAGTATAGAAACCTTTCCTAATTCCTTAATGATTAAAAAAGTGTCCAAGAATTTAATGGTGTTCGATTGAACAACTCTTGGCCCAAATTACAAAGACTACAGTTCATGCTAAAAAATGTTAAAAACTATAGGAAAAAATCAAAAAATATGTTTATAGTAATTTTTTTTTTAAAAAAGCACATCTAAATGAGGTTAAACAATAGTAAAAAAATAGATTTTGAAAAAAATCAATTTGCGACCAATGAGTATTTTTGAAATAATCCAAAAAAATAGAAAAATATAAAAATTAATATTCATGGCCAAAAATACTTTCCAATCTTTGTCAAAATGATAGAATACATGAAAAAACACATTACAAATAGATATTATTTTTTAAAAATATTTATAATTTTTTTGAAGATCCCTGAGTTGGACTCCCAACTTAAAGATACTTAGGCTCACCCGGGTGGCAAACCCTCCCAACTTAAAGATACTTAGGCTCACCCGGGTGGCAAACCCGAGTTACTGGGATTTGCCCCGAGTGGTCGACCGCTGGAATTTACTTTTAAGAGGAAGCTTGCTTTTAATCCAAGGATCTTTTTAAAAAGAAAAATAAAATACACTAAGCCTAACTCCAATCAATATATCTGTGGCCCTAAAGCTTAAGTTTCCAAAATGTTACTTTCCTATGCTAAAATAAGGAAGTAAGAGCGGTATTGTAAAGTCTATACTCACTAGGAGCACCGCGTCTCTAGCTGCTATGGCCAAAATATCGGCACACGAAACGGTGTTGTTGCATGCATTTTCCACCGCTGATTTGATGTTATCAACGACATCGAAGCCTCTTGCCGAGTTCAGGTTTCCCCCGGCAAACTTTTCCCCATCACTGCCGTCTAAAAGCAGCGAAGCATCGCACCCCTATATAAATTTTCATCCTTTTAGATGAATAATACTCATTGATTAACCAAAGCAAACTATAATAATAAAATTTTTGTTTTTCTTTGCACAATTTAGTGTTCACAAACTCGGCCAAGTCTACTCGGACTCGGTCCCTTGCGAGCGTGTATTTTGGAACAAGTCAGGTTGATTCAAAACATAAAAAATTATATATATATGTAAAATGTTTTAAAAGAAAATATAAAAAATAAGCATTTTAATGTGTTTTAGATTTTTAAACAATGATTTTTTAGTTTTTATTGCCATATGTCCCATTTGAAAAATATATATAAGGAGACTATTTACTTTCACAACAAGAAAGTCACAATCTTTCATATTTCAAAAGATTTCAAAACAGATAGTTGTGACTTGTGAGCATGTCATTAACTAGATTTAAAATTCAAAAAATAAATTTTCAAACTTTGTAACACACGTAAGCCATCAAATTTGATATCTAACGGCTATGAGTAATTACGATTTTCTTGTATTAAAAAAAAATGGTATCACGATATACAATCTTATTTTTATATATTCTTCTTTTCTTTGATTTTTCTGAAATATTTTAAATCAAATATTGTAAATCTATGTTAAATAGACATATATAGAAAGAGATCTCAAGATATCAACTCTCTCATGATGCCTCTTTTTAACTGCGAGTTGGTCATTTGCATGGCCGTCAAAGTTTGGTTGACCATCCATGCATGCATGCATGCCCAACTAGGAACTTGAAAAGAAGAGAGAGAGAGAGAGAGAGAGAGGGGGGTAGGTTTCTCACGTTGACAAAGCAATCATGAAAGTGGAGCCTAAGCAAGGAGGCAGCCATGCGCGTCTCACTCTTTACGGCTTCCTTCACCTTCTCACGAACGACTTGCAATAAATTAGGGCAGCTGTTTGAGTAGAAACTCGAAGATAGCTGCGACGCCACATTCACACTCAAATACAAAACCACCCATAACCTTATTACACAACAAAACCTTCCTCCCATCTTTTTCTTTCTCTCTCTAAAAATCACAAAACTTATATGTCAAAAAACGCTAATGCATGCAAGAATACCATACTCAAGCTGCCTCCTAATCGGGCTTTTATAGCTACCCAAAGTTAAAATTCATAGGGCAAGTGTACCATAGTCTTGTGGTGTATGGTACATGGTACATCAGCAGTGGCTATTATTTGAACAGATACGGCTAGAAACCATAGTGAATCACATTGCTTAATCATCTAAAATGGACGGCTGATTTTCTCAACTTTTAATATACACTACTCATCATTGGAGCATCATCATCATTATTATAATTTTATCCCAACTATTTGGGTTCGGCTGCTGACCGTTGGAGCAGCACCAATATTAGATTTGGGCCCCCTAGTTTGACCTTCATTTTGGAGGGCTTTTGTTGGACGGCTCAGAACTGATCACGTTCTCCACTACGAAGAATCCAGACCGCCGATGTTGTTGGGCGGCTCTCAACTGATCTGGACTTCGTTAAAAAAAACACTAGTGCGATTTTCGTGCATGCAGGTCTATCCTACAGGAGCAATACTATATGTTTGCAAAGCTATAGTGGGTTGTATGGACGGTCCACCTTCTCTTGATGGTCACCCGTGCATTCATCAGGACCGTCCATCTCGTAGTGTCTTACAGCAATGAAGTGTGTATTTTCTTGAAAAAAGCAGTGGGCGGCTGTGTATTGGACGCAATAGAAATGTGGTTGCATACCTAATTTCGCACTTAGGCAGCTGATCAAGCAATTAAATGTTTTCTTTCTACTAAATATTTTGGGTTTTGACATTTATTGATGACAAAGACATGCGTTACGGAAGTTGTGCGTAAACATTCATCCTTTATGTTTGTAGGGCAGCCCTAAACGTTATCAATTCTGATCTTTTTAGTGTGTTCTTGTTCATTTATACGTGGGACATGGGGTTTTAGGTTGTCCTAAAACCATACTAAGCCAAGGTCAAGGATACAACCGTTGAAGTTTGTCTTAAATATAAATCCTCGAAGTTTGTACTAAAAGGAAATCAAGCTGATCTACTCCTTAAGTGGGATACAGACAGTAGTTCATAGGTTACATTAATTGATAATCACAAATCGTATATGAGCATTAAATCCCATGATAAGACCCGGTCACTGGAGGAGAGCCCTCATAACTGAGGGCTTTGCTTGTGTCCATAGTGATGAGCAAGCTAGTGGTAGCAGCCCCCCCCTAAAGAGCAATTTGATGTTCCACATAGACAAGCCACTATTAAGCTTGCTTGTTGCTAAGTCAATATTGGATCAAACAAAACCAACCGGGTAAAAAAATACACTACAAAAAAATAAACTTATGTTTGTTAATTATAATAATCTATAGATTAGTCAGGTGTTTCAAAAACTATTGAGTCAGCTTAGAATTGCCCGATAGTTGTTAATTATCATAATCTACAGATGAATCGGGGGTTTTAAAAACTGTTGAGTCAGCTTATAATTGCCCGATAGTTGTTAATTATCATAATCTACAGATGAATAGGGGGTTTTAAAAACTGTTGAGTCAGCTTAGACTTGCTCAAGCCAATTTGAATGGGATCCAGGTCTAAAGTGTCCCCAATATGCCCACTTCCGAGTTTCTTAAATTTTCCATAAAAAATCCCAAAGAACGCGAAAACCAGATCAAAATTGCTTGAGCTTGGGTTAGCTGGTGACCAGCTCAACCACTAGTTCTACTTCTAAAACACTAAGTAATTGTAACATAAGAGAGTAAGGTATTGTACCCAGTGGTAGCACCTAGGTTTCTATACTTTCCTACCACCTCCCCAAACATCAGATCTCACCATCAGGCATCTGTGGGTGTCATTTCTCGACTTTAAAATCAGACATCTAAGGGTGTCATTTCTCAACTGTAAGTGCATCAAATGGTGTAAGAAACCCAGATGGTAACATTGATACTTCTGCATGAAATAATATGATCTATTATTTACAAGGAAAGGATCCTCAACATAACGTCCCGCCTTCCATTCCGATGGCTAACGCATTAAAAAAAATTCAAGAGCCCGTTTGGATAGGAGGACATTAAGAATTTTAGATATTTGAAATCTTAAAGAAATATATGGATTTTCAATATCAAGGATTTTGTCATGAATTCCTCATTGGATAAACTATACAAAATTCATGGATTCCTTGCAATTACTTCGATGTCCATTGTTTGGGAACAAAGCTTGATACAATTTCTCTCTCTAAAATTTTTATATGATTTCTCTTTTTAAAACTCAAAATTTGGGATAGTGTATCTATAAAAATTTTGAGATCGTTTCTCTCTCTAAACTTTGATATGACTTCTCTCTCTAAGATTTAATATACTTTCTATCCAAAATTAAAAATTTGGAATTGTCTATCTAAAATTTTTGAGATAATTTGTCTCTCTAAAATTGTTAGGTGCTTTATTATCTCTAAAATTTAATATAGTTTTTTTTTCTAAAATTTTAAGATACACTCTCTCTAAAACTTAAAACTTGAGATAGTTCCCCTCTTCAATAATTTTGATATAGTTTATCTCTCTAAACATTTTTAAGTAGTTTCACTCTCTAAAATATGATATAGTTGTTCTCTCATATTTTAAGACACTTTCTCTTTCTAAAAGCTAAAATTTGAGATAATTTCTCTCTAAAAATTTTGCGATGGTTTATTTTTCTAATAACTTTTATGTACTTTCTCTCTCTAAATTTTGATATAGTTCCTCTCTTAAATTTTAAGATGCTTTCTCTCTCTAAAACTTCAAGTTCGAGATAGTTTCTCTCTCTAAAATTTTGAAATATTGATATAGTGTCTCTCTAAAATTTGATATACTTTCTCTATCTAAAGTTAAAAATTTGAGATACTTTCTCTCTCTAAAACTTAAATTTTGAGATAGTTTCTCTCTCTAAAAAATTGATGTACTTTCTCTATCTAAAATTTGATATAGTTTATCTTTCTAAAATTTTAAAATATTTTCTCTTTCTAAAACATAAATTTTGTGATAGTTTCTCTCTCCAAAAATTTTGAGATAGTTTCTATTTATAAATTTTTTTATGTAGTTTCTCTATCTAAAAGTTGATATAATTTTTATCTTTAAAATTTTAATATATTTTATCTCTTTAAAATTCCGATTAGGAGATAGTTTCCCTCTAAAACTTAAAATTTCGAGATAGTTTCTCTCTCTAAAAAATGAGATATTTCTCTCACTAATTTTTTTAGCAGTTTCTCTTTCTAGAAATTATAATAATTTATCTCTAAAATTTTAAAAATATTTTCTCTCTCTACAATTTTAAGAATACTCTCTCTCGCTCTCTCTCTAAAAGTTAAGATTTAATATAGCTTCACTCTCTAAAAATGAAAATATGAGATTGTTTTTCTCTCTAACAGTTTGGAAATAATTTCTCTCTCTAAAAAATTGAGATAGTTTTTTTTTCTAAAAATTTGCATATACTTTCTGTCTCTAAAATATAATAGTTTATCTCTAAAACTTAAAATTTGAGATAGTTTATTTCTCTAAAATTTTGAGATAGTTTCTCTTTAAAATTTTTTGATACTTTTTCTAAAAATTTAACATTCTTTCTCTCTCTAAATTTTTAACATACTTTCTCTCTCTAAAATTTTAATATATTTTATCCGTATAAAATTTTAACATACTTTCTCTCTCTAAAATTTTAATATATTTTCTCTATCTAAAATTTTAACATACTTTTTCTCTTTAAAATTTTAATATATTTTCTCTATCTAGAATTTTATCATACTTTCTCACTCTAAAAGTTAAAATTTGAGATAGTATCTCTTTAAAAAATTTGAGATAGTGCCTCTAAAAAATTTAGATACTCTCTCTCTAAAATTTTCATTAATACCAAATGCTCCCTATGTTTCGGGTCCAGGGAGCCAATGAGTGAAATCCATGAGCCTTGGAAATGCAAAAAAACGGGTTTTGGTGTGGAAATAAAATCATGGAAAAGTATGTCTTATTTCCATGAATTTGATTTTTCTGATTTTAAGTATCCAGTCATTAAACAATTCAAATGGCAGATTTTGGCAAAATCCAAGATATTAAGAATACATGTCTTGAAATCCATGTACTCAAACAAGGCCTAAAGAAATTTTTTTTTTTTAAGAAGAACATAAAATTTTCAATGATAAGGTTTAAGATACTCTAGGCAACCAGTTCATACATAATTCCTGTACCTGATGGTGATTCTGTGTAAAGGAACATTTCAGGCATTTCAAAGCTATTTTAGCTCCGCTGGTACTGTTTTTTTTTTAATTTACAAAGAATTATAGATACTAGAAATTTGATTTGGTTTTAGTATTGACTATGGAACCCTATTCTAGACCACTCGTAGTCCCCATATCATACTTAGAAACCTCGCCGTAATCCCTAATGTTCAAATTACCATAATCCTAAATACCTGAAAACTTAGTCAAAATTATAGCCCTAGTAAAATTCAACCAAATGAACTGAAACTTATATTTTTATTGGAAATTGAAAAAACTTTTCAATGCTCCAAGTCCTTTGACATTCTCATACATGGTTCCAAAAGTTACTGCGAAGTTTTTGAACAAATGTGATTATTCCAAAAAGTTCCTTGGGATCACACTCTTTACAGTAACCCGAGCAAGGTGTATCAGGCCGCCCCATACATTATGCGACGGACCTTGATTATTTTGCCACCTTTATACCGGCGTAGAAAAAATCCGGTGCTCCAAATCAGAATCGCCCGGTTAGATCGGAATTGGTCACCGGTGGGTTCTAGTTTCGATTGAGTATTTTTAAAAAATTCAATAAAGTTATATAAAATTTCAAAAATAAAGAATTTTATTTGTAATACATTTTTTAATATTTTCAACATTTTGACAAAGATTGAAAGTTTTTTTTGGCCATTAATACTTACTTTTATATTTTCCATATTTTTTTAAAAAAAATAAAAAATACCTTTGGGTACAAATCGTTTATTTAAAATCTATTTTTTTCATTAATTTTCAACTTCATTTAGAGGTGCTTTGTTTAATCATGCTTTAAATATACTTTTCA